TATTCAACTAAAATCACATAAAACAACTTCCATGTCATTTCTGAATTTTTCGGTTTTTGTTTGTTTTTTGATTTTCGAGACAGGGTTTCTCTGTGTAGCTTTTGAGTCATTTCTGAATTTTAATGCCTCTCTTGTACCTAGTTAAGAGGTAATCATCCCTGCTTAAGTTTCTCTCCTATGATTTTTGTTCCTTTTTTCTTTGTAATAACATTGAACTGTCTAAAAATTATTTAGCTAGATATTCAAGATAAAAACATTACTTTTGCAAGTCATTTCCCAATGTTGCACCTTAAAAAATAAGATTGGGTTGTTGTATTTATGTTGTGTATGTGCATATACAGTGCCCCTGGAGGCCATAGAAGGTATGTATTCCAGAACTTGACTTAAATAGTTGACTGCGTGCAGCGTCATGTGCGCCTAGGCCCTCTTCCAGAGTGGCAAGTGTTGTTTGATTTTTTTCCGAGACAGGGTTCCTCTGTAGTTTTGTAGACCAGGCTGGCCTAAACTCACAGAGATCCACTTGCCTCTGCCTCCCAAGTGCTGGGATTAAAGGCGTGCATCACCACTGCCTGGCATGGCATGTGTTCTTAACTACTGAGTTTACGTCTTCAGCCCCACACCATACTTCTTGTCTCTTGTGAACAAGAGGTCTGAATGATGGTGTTAATAGTTGGTGAAAATTTCTGATTTGTAGAAACATTTTAAAAATACATTTTTATTTTGGAAATTATTTTAAGGATCCTTCTTCAGTGGGAATAATTCCAGAAAACATTGTCTTTGCCTTTATGTCATTGCCATTGTATAAGATTTGGTCTATTCTAACTATTTTTATTCGGTAAATTTTTTGTGTGTTTTGTTTTTCAAGACAGGGTTTCTCTGTAGCTTTGGAAGCTGTGCTAGAACTTGCTCAGTAGACCAGGCTGGCGTCGATCTCACAGAGATCCGCCTGTCTTAGCTTCCTAAGTAATGCGGAAATATTAAGCTACACAAAATAGGTATGTCCTATCATGTTTTATTGAGGAAGAAATCACTTATGTGAGAAGCTAAGAAAGCTGAGAACCAAAGGTTCTCCAGGCCGAAACCAGAACCCAAGAGCAAGAGTCTCCTCTCCCTAGCTCTTTTATCCTCCATACGTTCTACTTGCCGTTTGGGTGTGGTCAGCCCTACAGGTACGTAAGATCTCTCCCTACAAGTCCCCTTTTAGTCTAAAGAAGAGATTTAGACTTAAAACTAAATTGTCTCAAACTAATATAAAGCACATATACATAGAAGATGATAAAAGAAGATAAAAATTATAATCAACCTATATCCTATCCTAAGCATATCTATCCCATCTAAATCCTAAACTTATCTGAAAGAAATGTCCAAGTCTGAATACCTCCTTCCAAGCCCAACCCTAAATAATTGAAAATGATTAACAGGTGTAATGTCAACAATAGGGAAAGGGGGCATAGTATTCTCATAATTACTTCCTGCTGAAATGGGACTACGATAACCTCATGGGATCCTGTAGGAAGAAAATGTTAGTGTAGTGAAAGTCAAGTGGACTAGTTACAACATTTGTACCCAGTCTCTGTCTGGCAGGAGATGCTTGATTGAAGTTCTTGACTGAAGTTCTAATCTTGATTGAAGCTCGTGTCTGAGGCTCTGGCCAGAGTGTAGAAGGTACATATCAGTTAATTAGTCTGGAGTTGTGTGGAGTGATGTAGTCCCAATTAGGGTGGTACTTGTCAGTTCAGATGCTTCAAGTCGGATCAGGTGGAGTCGATGAAGTGGGGCCCCATTTTCTTTCTGAGATGTTTCAAGATTGCTGTTAGGAAATTCCTTGTTCTCTGGAAAACTCAAATGTTAATGTCAACAAAGAAATTTCAACTTTATATGTATGCATACCAGGAAAGGCAACAATAAGGAAGATGTAAATGTGAGGGAAATTAGACTTTCAGAGAAAGAATGAGTATGAACAGATGACAATCCCTAGATTTTGTTTTCTTCTGTCTTACATCAATGGCTCCTTGATATAATACATAAGCTCTGAATTTTATTTTAGGAATATGCTTGGATTTAGAGGAGGAGAGCCAAATTCAACTCCAAAGCCAGCATTGATTTGAGTGAATTGTGACCAAAAGAGTATTGGGAGGTAAAAGAAAACAGATATTATAAGGGCAAAGTGAAGAGAATTAGGCACTGATAGCAAACGTTAGGTTCTTCTCTGTTTGAAGGTTCTTTGGGTAGCCATCCTCCCTTCTTCAGGTATCCACACGTTCAGTATCTTCTCGCTGTTGGGAGATGGGTTTTCCTGTGGAGACAAAAACCAAACACTTCCCTTTCCTTTGTGAGATCGATCTCCTTACACATTGTAGAATATGACTTTGTGGATGAGCTGTCATCTTTCCTCCTCCTGAGGTTTCTCCTGTTCATATCAAATCTTGATCGATTTTGATGGAATCCAAAGCTTTTCTTCTCCTGCGGAAACAGACAAAACCCCTTCCCCAACATACCATATATCCTGGTTTCCAAACTGAAGTCATAACATCCTTGAAATACACCAGCTGATTTAGTTCAGAATTTTTGTAGTCCAGTGTCTTTTGTCCTTTCTCATTAGCATTAAGAAAGTTTAATGTTAATAAAACATTATGTTTTGTTTGTTATTTTGGTTTTTCGAGACAGAGTTTCTCTCTGTAGCTTTGGAGCCTGTCCTGGAACGCGCTCTGTAGATCAGGCTGGTCTCAAACTCACAAAGACCCACCTGCCTCTGCCTCCTGAATGCTGTGATTAAAGGTGTGTGCCACCAACACCTCGCCTAATAAAGCATTATATAATCTGGGTTTGGGGGTCTTTGTTCCCCCTGGCTGTTTATGGAGCATTTCTTTTAAAGTATGGTTAGATTTCTCAACCACTGCTTGTCCTGTGGGATTGTATGGTATACCAGTTATATGTTTTATGTTATAATATTTGAAAAACTGTTCCAGTTTGCTGGAGACATATGCTGGGATTAAAGGTGCGCCACCACTTCCCTGCTTACGCAGTACATCTTTTAAAGTAGGGGTCTCATGTAGCCATGGACTCAGTAAGTAGCTGAAGATGCCTAACCTCCTAGTCATCCTGACACTGAATTCCTGAGTGTGTCATTCCAGGAGTGCACCACCAAACCCAGCTTATTTTCATTTAATAGTGTTATAGTAAAACTAAGGGTATTTTTTAAATTAAAGCTTCCTTTTCTGCAGTGTTGAAAATAAACATAAGTTGAGAGTTTTGTTTGAGCTTACAAGTTCAAGACTAGCCTCAGCAACATAGTAAGGTCCTGTCTCAAAATCAGACAAAAAGCAAAACTCTGAAAAATAGCTACACTCAACAATAATGAAATATAGCTTCATTCCAAAGTGTATGTAAAATAAAAAAAGATGATAGTTTTGGTAGAGCATGAAGGAAATTGGTGCTATTATACACAGCTGTGGAACTGTACATTGGTTCAGTCAGTATGAGACACAATATGGCAGTTAATTAGAAGGCTGACTATAATTGCCATATAGTGTAACCACATACTTAAACATACACAAAAACAAAAAGATGGTTACTACATGAAAACCTGCACGTGAATGTGTATAAAAGTATTACTCTCAATAGCCAAGCACTAGAACAGTTGAGATTCTTATTGAGTGAAGGAATGAAGAAAATGCCATTTGGAGACTGGGGAGGTGGCTCTGTGGTTAAGCACACTGGCTGTTCTTGCAGAGGACCCAGGTTCAATTCCCAGCACAGGCATGGTAGCTTATGACCATTCCTCAGGTTCTCATACTCTCTGATGATGCCATGCACGCATGTGGTGCCTTAGTCACACCTGCAATCAAAGCACAGGCATACATAAGGATGAAAACGAATACGTTTAAAAAGTGCCATGTGTCTGTTTGGTGACAGAGGAAGTAAGTAACTGGCACGTGCTAGCAAGCATGAGCCTCAGTCATTATGCTGTTTACAGAAGAGCACTGTGGGGTTAGGGTGGTGGCTCAGTTGGTAAAGGGGAAGCATAGGGTAAGGGTCTGAATTCAAATTCTTAGCACCCTTACATATAAAGGGCCTGGTGTAGTGATGTGTGTGTGTGACCCAGCACTGGTGAGTCAAAGCCAAGAAGACCCTGAGGCTTGTGGGCCAGGCCAGCCATTCTAACCAAATTCAGTAAGAGAAACCAGTAATTTTTTAAAAAAACAAACAAAAAGGTAAAGAGAGCGGTATTAGGGATTGTGCCTGCTTCTGACTACTGTCTTCCACACATGTGCATATAAGTGTATGCACATCTCATATATTTGCACAAACACACACACATACACACACCACTTGATTAGAGTCAGGCACATGGCTTTGCGGTTAGAACTGTAGGAGTTGGAGGGGGATAGGAAGTTACTGCTCAGAGTATGGAATTTCTTTATGTAGTGATGAAAATGTTCTGAATCAGAGTGATGTTGCAATCTAAAAAGCAGACTTGTGAATTTAAAGCAGTTAAATATATATTTGACACAATTTAAAGATTGTTCATTTTTATTTCATTTGTATCAGTGTTTTGCCTCATACATACAATGTGTGTGGTATGTGCAGTGTGTGTGCCTTGTGCCTGCAGAGGGGAGAAGGTGACACTGCATCTTCTGGAACTACAGTCACAGACAGTTGTGAGTCACATGCGTATGCTAGAGACTGAACCCCTGTCCTCTGAAAGAGCTCTTTACCACTGAGCCATCTCTCAAGGCTGGATTTATTCTTGTATAAAGTTGTTATTAAAGACATGTGGAGAGATTCATTTGTGTCTATGAGCATAAATAAGATCTAAAGTGATGCACATTGGTTGCCTGTGAAGAAAATATTTTTTTAAAGGTATCCATCTGTGCCTATGAAATTGTATTCCAATTTATATATGGGAATATGTGGGAAAATTATGTTTTTTGTGACTAAATAAGTTACATAATAAGAGTATTAATAAGTTCTTTCTTTTCTTACTTTACTATGACCAGGTCCTCCAAGGATTAGATTATTTACACAGTAAATGCAAGATAATTCATACCGACATAAAGCCGGAAAACATCTTGATGTGTGTCGATGATGCTTATGTGCGAAGAATGGCAGCTGAGGCTACTGAGTGGCAGAAAGCAGGTGCTCCTCCTCCTTCTGGGTCTGCAGGTGAGGGAGCTGAGCCCTCATTGCTTCAGTCTGCTTGGGGGCTGTGAGATTTCAGAATTATACATTGAAGACAGTTGAGTTTGATGTGTACATATTAGGAACTTTTTCTAAGAGTTTGGTTGCTGAAAATAACATCAATAAGATGTTATATCTAATTATTTTTTGTTAATTGTTTATACTACCTTACCTTTACCCTCTACTAAAATTCAACCTGAATTCTTAGCTGTTGATTCATCTACATAGCAGCATGTCGTGTTGTCGAAGTCTCTATGTAGCCTACCTGCAGACATTTTTCTGATTTAGGTTTCATAAAACTCTTTTCTTCTCTTAATGTAGTTGGATCCATCTCAGTTTAACTGATACATTTGGTATTAAAAGATCAAGGGATGAGGAGTGGGAAAGGGGACCAGGTCACTTAGGCATTAGCATAGTGTTTCTTCTGAATTTCATAGAATTCATTGGTGGAAATGAAGTGCTGGCTATGCTGTCAGTATAATCACATTGCCTGTACCCTGGCACATTGACCTGCAAATATGCAGACTAAAGGGTTTAATGACTGACAGGGACTTCAGAGAGGTTGCTGTCACCTCATCTCATGTGCCATCACGATGTTATTAGCTCATACAACCAATTTACAAAGGTTTTGATGCATGTTAGGCTGACTTTCAGAGTGATTGCTGCAATGTGCTGCACTGTGTGACTTAGTTTAGTTGTCTGATGTTTCCAAGTGGTTTTCAGACATAGCTATATGTCTTCTTATCTAAAGTGTTCATTGCCTCATTTGTAAAACACATGTGGTTCTGTGACAGACATAAACTCTTCCTCCATTTTCTCAATTTTTCAGTCAGTGCTTTGAGAGAGGCTGTTTTCAAGACAAGTGTCTTATATATGAACAGCTTCTCCTGTGCCCTGTAATAGTAAATTGTGTGTTTGCATTGTATAAACTTTTTAGAAACCTCAGGGGTTTAGTTTTTTGAAGCTGTGTAATTATTAAAAGACAGTTTTATTTCATTTTGCAAATCAGATTGTCCAAAGGTACTTTTTTTCTTCTGAATACCCATTTTGTTTTGTTTTGTTTTAGTGAGTACAGCTCCACAGCAAAAACCTGTAAGTATGTTACATGTATATATATTCATCATGTCAAAAGAGACTGTTCACTGTTGAGCTTCACAAATTATGTAGCAAATGTTCTAATCTGTATTAATTTAAAAGTTGGCATGTTTATAAATTCTGTTTTCCCCGCCCCCCCCTAAAAGCTTGACTTCTTGCCATGGATGGAAATAGTCAAAGCTACTGCAAGACTAGTCTTTTCCTGTGCTCTCTAGGCTGCAATTGGCTAAGTTCAGTGAATTGCAAGGTTTTAGATCAAGTTTAAAAGAACCTTTTTAAAATTACTTCTGTTTGGCCTTCAAGTATCTTATTTGATAAAACCCTTTTAATTTTTTTTATAGTTAGCTGTGTAAGTGAGCATTATCTATTCTGTGGACCTGTTTTCTTAAAAGAGAAGTTCAAGTCTGATGAATTGTTGCCAGAAAATCCAAATCACTTTCATAGTTCTACCCTGATCTAAGGATTTGGGCTTATGGGTCTATGAAACTTTAAAGGTACTTGTTGCCAGTATTTCCACGACATATGGCTATAGCTGGAGGTAGACAAAACTGTGACTTTTCTTTTTTTGTCCTTTTATATTATGTTTATTCCTGAAAGTTCATGCTATATTGCCTATCAATCACAGCTTGGTATTACGAACAAATGCAGACAGCGCTGTTTGCCACCTGTCTTGGTAGGTGTTTGTTTTTGTTGTTAAGGAATGAGAATGATTCTGGATATAGGTGGCAGTAAAGAAAGCTTGCAAGAGATTCTTGCTCAAGATGCTCAGTTCTAGACTTTCTAATGGAAGTTATGTCCCTTCAAGGGGAAGACCCACAATATGAGCACAATCCTATCCTGAGGTAGATCTATAACTGAGTATGATGTGAAAAAGCAGAATTGGAATTTGCCGTGTTGCCAGCACTTATACTCCTAAATAGCGTTTTAAGAAGAAGCACCTGACCTGCGGTTCTTTCTTACCATGTTGTAGATAGGAAAAATATCTAAAAACAAAAAGAAAAAGCTGAAAAAGAAACAGAAGAGGCAGGCTGAGTTGCTGGAAAAACGTCTGCAGGAGATTGAGGAATTGGAGCGAGAGGCTGAAAGGAAAACCATAGAGGAAAGTATCACGGCTGCCATCCCATCCAATGAGCAAGATGATGGGTATCACCCAGAGGTGAAACTAAAGGAAGCAGGACTAGAGGAAGCAGCTGAAGGAGAGACAGCAAAGGATAATGGTTAGTACAACTGAGAGCAGGAGGGAGGTCTGATGGGTAGGTGTCCTGGAACTGCACTAAGGGCCCAACCAGTGTACCACACAGGTTGGCTTCATGCTGCTGCCTCATATGTTAAGGACAACTTTCTCTAACTCCTTGTTGGAGATTATGGGAAGCGGCCTATACGCCATCTGTAAAATGTCTGCTAGGCATTATGTTAACGTTTCAAAGTATGTTTTCAAAAAGGGAAGAAGGAAGTCCAAGAAACATATTTTGTGGGTTTTTTCCTGTTAATGATGACCCTTTTATTTTGTGATTAACCTTTTTCCTAACTTTAATGCACCACAAATCTTATTCTAAAGCTATAGAGGAAAGGGTTAGTGACTAAAAGAAATGAGTCAGTATTCTTGCAAAGGAACCAAGTTGACTTCCCAGCACCACTTGTGTCCTGTTGCTCACAACTACTTGTCACTCCAGCTCGAAGGGGCTCAGAAGCCTGTGGCCTCCAACGCCATAGGCATGTGCACACACATACAATTTACAATGAATTTAAAGATCAGCTACAATAAACATCTTTGAGAAAAGCTGTGGGCAGGGAGGGGTTGGAATGAAAGTCCAGTTTTACTTAGCATTTTACCCCAAGAGCTAACTTGTTCCTGAAAATATTAAATTAGCAGAAAACAGGATTTAGAAAGCCATTTTGCCTTGAAAACTAAATAGACATGTTCTGTGGTATATTAGAAGCGTCTCTTAGCTGGATATGATAGCACATGCCTTTAATTCCAGCATGTAGGAGGCAGAGGCTGGTGAATCTCTTAAGTTTGAGACTAGCCTAGTCTACAGATCAGCCAGAGCTACACAGAGAAACCCTGTCTGGAAAAACTAAAACCAAAAAATTTCAAAGCTAAGTGTCTCCTGTTGAAGAAGCTAACTAGTACTACTGTGCAAGGAGAGTCATGACTCCTAATCTTAACCCCATGTTTGTTAAGGTGAAGCTGAAGACCAGGAAGAAAAAGAAGATGCAGAGAAGGAAAATGCTGAGAAGGATGAAGAGGATGTTGAACAGGAACTTGCAAACCTAGACCCTACATGGATGGAGCCCCCTAAAGCCAACGGCCATATTGAAAATGGTCCATTCTTACTGGAACAGCAGCTGGAGGATGAAGAGGATGATGATGACGACTGTGCAAACCCTGAGGAATATAACCTAGATGAGCCAAATACAGAGAGTGATTACACGTATGGCAGCTCCTATGAACAGTTCAATGGTGAATTGCCAAATGGACAACATAAGAGTTCAGAGTTTTCCACATCATTGTTTTCTGGGCCCTTAGAACCTGTGGCCTGTGGCTCTGTGCTTTCAGAGGGATCACCACTTACTGAGCAAGAGGGAAGTAGCCCATCCCATGACAGAAGCAGGACAGTTTCAGCTTCTAGTACTGGAGATTTGCCAAAAAGTAAGTGTCCTTGTATCTCTCTCTGTTTTCACTGAGCAGAATCATACCTTTGATAAACACTGTGAAAGGATTTGGCTAAAGGGGAAGAGACATTTAAATATGTACTAACCCTTTAATTTCAGTACTCTTGTATTCAAGAACAAATGGAATGCTTTAGACATGTATCCTGTGCTGCCGGAATTTCTCTTATCTCTGAAGTCCTATCCCTGGACATTTTTCGTTTATTGTATTTTCAGTGATGTCAAATACTTCTGAAACACCTTCACCACTAACATCTTCATAGCTTTATACATGATACCCTTTTGTAGCTGCTCCTGCTGCTGTAGTTAGCAGTAGGTAGGAAGCGGTGGGGGTAGTGGTAGTAGTAGTATCATCTTTGGGTTTTGTTTCTACTCAAGGAACACCTACCTGTCAGTTTTCAGCTATACCAACAGACAAGTTGAGTTTTATTCAATAGTTGTCCTTGTTCATAGACTTCTGTTTTTGATAAAGCATGATGACAGCTTATAGGTTCTTGGGTTCTTATATACCTGAGGCCCAATCTTCAGACCCATATTTTGGGAGCAAATGCCATGTAGCTAATTGCTGAATAACTTAAGGAAGGATAACTGATATCGAAGTTGATGTCCATTCTGACCTTTAATAGAAAAATTTAGAATCCTCTACCCTCTACTGCCAATAGTGTTTTTAACACATGGCAAGTAATTGAGCCATCCCAATAAGTAGGCAAAAGATTATTCACTTCTTTAAGTTGCACCAGGCCAGTGCCTTTGTTACTTGCTACCTGTAATTAACTGCCCTAGCTTGTGTTTTGCTCACTTTGCAGTGCATGTCTGTCCAGGGAGTGGTAGAGTTCACATAGAATAAATACAGCTTCATTTCTGGGCAATGGCACTAGTGACTTGTGTCTTCTCTGCTTTTATTGTTTCTGTTGCTTGCAGCTTGAAATTCACACATTTACACATTCATATGCAAAGTACTTCATGCTTTTCATTATTTTTCACATGATAGTTTAGAACAATGGCTTCAGATATAGGAAATTGAATCCTAGCTTAAAACCTAATAGTCATGGGACTTCAGTTTCTTAACCTCCTTGTGCCTCAATTTCTTCTTCTATTAAAGGGAAGCAATGACCACACTTAGTGTTGTTAGTGTTGAAGCAAATGCTACATATTAAACTATGTGTGGGCAAAACCCAATACATAATTAAAGTCTCCTAAAAGGTATACTTTTGCTGATAAGCCACATTGGTAGAATCTGAGGCCCAGGCACAGTGGACAGCTCTGAAGATGGGAGTCTCTGTCCTGCCAGGTCACACTGCACTTCACCCTCAAATAAGCACACAGGACTCGTTAATTATTAAACTGTTGGCAAGTAGCTAGGGCACGTCCTATTTTCCCATTCTCTACATGGTGTCTCTTGGTGGCCTCTCTCGCCTGTCTCTCCAGCATTCTTCTCCTAGTCCTGCCTATCTTCCTGCCTCTATTGGCCAACCAGTGTTTTATTCATCAACCAATAAGAGAAACATATATACAGAAGGACATTCCCCATCACAGCTCAGCATAGTCTTGCTAGTACCTCATGGGTCTTGGCTCCTTGTTTTATTCCACTTACCACATTATAATTCATTCATGCTGGGGAGCCAGGGTAGGTAGGTATAGGTTAAGACTTGAAGAGAAAAAATTCTTTCTAAATGCAGAGAATTTATCATTGTAGTGAATGAGTAAGGAAGGGTTCTAGTTTAGGCAAAATCTAAAACCCCGTTGTAGAAGTTAATTTAACTGAAAACTCATAGCTTTCATGTAAAGAACACTTGGACACTGTGAGAGAGCTAGTTTTATCTTGGAGTGAGAGGAGTAACTCATGCTTGGGCCCCACCACCTCCCCGCAGCAGCCTCTGCCTTCCTTGATTTGCAGTTCCTGCTTGCTCTGTTGTTCCTTTGGGATATTTACCAGGTTTTCTGCATCTTAATTGTTGACACTACCCCAATCTCTGTTCTGACCTTGTTCTTCTTATGTTGTAGTCTTTTTCTGACTTACCTGTGCCTGCCCATGATTTCCATTGGCTTCTATGCATTGATGGCTCAATCCCTGTTCATTCACTCAATAACTGTTGAGTCACGTGGGACCACAAGAGAAAGTGGTGGATCTGCCCAGGTGCTTTCATTCCCTACTGAGAGTGACCTTAGCTAGAACATGCCTGTACTGTGTTGATTGTCCCGTTCTTCTCTGTCATATACCCTTGTGGTGGTTTCTGTTAACTTGACACAAACAAATCCCCTGGGAAGAAGGCACCTTAGTTGAAAAATTGCTTCTGTCAGACTGGCCCGTGGGCATGTCTGTGGGGCATTTTCTCAATTAATGGTTGATGTGAGAGGGCCAGTCTTGCTGTGGGTGATGCCACCCCTGAACAGGTAATTCTGGCCTGTATTAGAGAGTTGAGCAAACTGTGGGGAACAGGTCAGTAAGCAGTAATCCTCTGTGGTCTTTGCTTCGGTTTCTGCCTCTGGATTCCTGCTTGACTTCCTACCCTGACTTCCCTCAATCATGGTCTGTAATGTGGAATTATAACCCCTTTCTTCTTCCCAGTTGGTTTGGTCAGTGCTTTATTATAGCAATAGAAAGCAAACCAGGACAACCTTGCCAGCCCCTTCTCAAAGTAGGGTTCTCCTTGCCTTGGCCGTAAGTGACAGATTGTTGCTTGGCTTTATTGTTGCAGAGGCTTCTGGTTTATTTCTGTGTATTGTCTCCGCCTGCCATTCCTGACTCCCAAATCAGTCTTCCAGGTTCCTGCTACTCAGACAAATTCCCTTTTTTCTAATTCTTCATGGGGTCCCACAGTCTCTACACAGCGGTGCATGTGTCCTCAAGCAACAGAACAGAAATGAATTATTAAGACACCTTTGTATACTAAGATAGTTACTTTGAAAGTATAGCTTAATAAATAGCTATATATACTCTACTATATTCAGAATTGACATTTTGCCATGGTATATGTACATTATATAGAAATTGCATGCTATAGATATTAGAGTAGTTCTAAATATTTAGGCATTTATCATCTGAAGAATTAACTAAAGGTATTTTTGTGCTCACTCCATATTCAGTTCTCTTTAGTTTGAAAATAGTTTTTTATTTTCTCTGATCCACGGTAATGCAAACCTCCTCCCCAACCCCCAAAGTAAGCATTGGGCTGTGTTTGTGCTGGTTTTCGCCATTAGAGCAAGATGTGCACATTAGAGAATAGTAAGACAGGTCAGAGTCAAATTGTGATGTTTGAAGAACTTAGATGCCACTTGAAAGGATGTGGTCTTGCAAGTACTTTGCTAGCCCTTGGTGGCTGAGATGAGGAGATTGTTATAGCTTGTGGTTTTATTCTTGACTGCTTGGTCTTTTTGGAGTTCTCACTCCATAATCCTCCCAGCCAGTCCTTATCAGCAGTCCTTATCTTAATGCTTAGGCTATTCTCTATCTAGAAGTACACATGTATCTTTTACAGCATATCCTATCATCTTCTCCCTGAACCCCAAATGATTAACTAGCTTCTGTTTCTCACATCCCTCCCTAAATGCTGAGCACTCCACAGTCTAATTCCTAGCAGCGTGCTGATGTCTCTGTACCACCTAAGCTGGTGGGCTCTTCAACTTTTTACAGATTGTGGATAAGGGTCTTTGCTGTACCTATCTCCTCTTCCTTGAACTTCTCATGCTCCTATTATCAAGTCTAGCACAGAATGTCTGTGTAACTGCTTCAGGTACCTGTTCACTCTCTGACCCTAAAGCAAAATCAAGTCTTGGCCACTCAACCAGATGCTGATCGAACTTAAATATGTGTGTGTTTTGTATTTTCTTTGGGGACAGAGACTGTTCCTTTTCATTCTTTCCTGAAGACAGTCTCAAAGAATTTGTCATTTGCTAGGCTTGCAATTCAGAGGTATGAGAGTAGGATTTGGATCCTCTTGAACAAAACTGTTTTGACACAGGCAGTAGGGATGGTGGTAACATGAGGTGTGTCTCATCTAATCAGTCATCTGTTGGTCAGTGTGCTGCGCTTATCATGACCAACATTGTTCTCATTTCTACAATTTGCCTTCTCTTTTAGGTTAGTCAGCTTCTTTCATTATCTTCATTGTCATTATTTTCTGAGTTCCTGAGTTTCTGAGTGTTTTTTTTTTCTCTCTTTTTCCTTAGCTCCTGCCTAGTCTTTGATAAGACCCTCTGTGAGTAGCCATCCTTACACATAAGGCATAAGGCAAAAAGAGAACCTCTCTGCCTGTCTCTGGCCCAAGCTGATTCATAAACTAAGAACACCATGAGAGTTGAAACAGTGACCAGATTTGAGACTGTAGCCTTTCTTTGGATTATCGACAGTTTAGGTCCTGGTACCCTGCTGTTAGAAGTCTGACCTTTCTTCCTCTATGGTTTACCAACAGACTGAACCCCCTCAAGCACTATAGTTCCTCAGTTCAGTACACATTGAACCAGCTTAGTGCACACAAGCATCAACTTGGCATGAACAAAATGACTCCTTAACACTGGCGTTAATGTTCTGCATTGAGCTGAGTTTTCTGTTTAGTCTATAAATTCCATTTCAATATGACCAAAAACCCTGAGCACATAAGGGCTCAGATTAAGTATAAAGATGAATGTGCTGATCTTCTCATAGCTACTTTCAGCACAGTTAGCGGTTATCCAAGAACTTTTCTGAAGCCAGTAACCCTGGGCCTGGGCCTGCTGCAGAGACTCACTTCTGGGTGGGTCATGTTAAAGTTGAGTCATCTGCACTAACAATGGCCCTCTTCAACTTGTCAGAACAATGGTTTGCATCTTCCCGTTCAAAACCAAGCCATAAAAGATTATTCCCTGCCTATAATATAAATTTGCTAATCAGTTGTCTTGATGTTTTTGAGTGCTCAGTTGAGGAAGCTGGAGTGTAGGGTATGCTCTCAGTGTTGAGGTGGTGTTCATGATCACATGGCATTGGTGAACTACATAGTGTTCAGCAGCAATTGGTTACCTGTGTTTATCTTTATGTGACTTTAGTGTTTCACCAACGGTTCAATCTGCAGGATTCTAGGCTTATCCTATCATTCTCCTTTAAAAAAAACACAAAACAAAAGGAGTCTGTACCTGGCAAACATTGTGTTCACACATGTAAACTTCTTGTCCCTTTTTCTAAATTCCTATTTTTGTGGGGGGAGGGTTTCAAGACAGGGTTTCTTTGTGTAGCTTTGGAACCTATCCTGACACTCACTCTGTAGACCAGACTGGCCTGGCCTCAAACTCACAAGAGAATCCGCCTGCCTCTGCCTACCGAGTGCTGGGACTAAAGGCATGTGCCACCAATGCCTGGCTTTGCTAACTATCTTACTGTTTGCTCATGGCAGCAAAAACCCGAGCAGCAGACCTGTTGGTGAACCCTCTGGATCCACGGAATGCAGATAAAATTAGAGTAAAAATCGCTGACCTGGGAAATGCTTGTTGGGTGGTAAGTAGAGTTTTCTTTTTACATTTTAATGATTATATTGTGCAAGAAGATGCTTTTTTAAAAACTGTATATATCACCTCTACTCCTTTGCAGCATAAACATTTTACAGAGGACATCCAGACACGTCAGTACAGGTCCATAGAGGTTCTGATCGGAGCTGGCTACAGCACACCTGCAGACATCTGGAGTACAGCTTGCATGGTAAGAACCCCTTTGCCACTCTTCTTCCCTGGAAATGACTTCTTGTGAATCCTCGTGATGGGGTGGAGTCTTACTGAAGATCTCCATTATAAAATAGGGGAGGAGAAGATTGTGCCTGGTTGTTATAAGCATTGGAAGAATTCTCCCCCGATATGCTTGTAACTGATGGCCTCTTCTTTGGTCTCCATGCAGCCCAATGCCACAAGAATCAGACTTCATTTGAGGAATTACTTTTAGTCTCTGGAAGTTTTCATTTGTTTTAGGCTCCCTGTTACATTATGTGGTGAAGTCAAATGTCTTCTCACAGGAGTGGGTGACTGTACTTAAGGAAGGTGGCCTCTCCCAGAGGTTTCTCCATCTGCCAGTGCACAGTTATTTTTTTCTGACTCAAATGCAGAGAGTTCTGCCTTGTGTTTGGCATGTGCTGACTCTTCTGCAATAGCATTGGCCACACAGGTGTCCTTAGTTTGAATCTGTTTCCCCAGAACACAGTGATGCTTTCCTGAAGGCAGCAGGACTTCCTGAATGTCCTTTGACTTGGACATTCTGAGTTTTTGTCTTTATAAGCTGTAGGAAGAGATCTTATGTACCTGTAGTACTGACCGACCATGCTCGTTTGGGCATGGTCACAGGTACATGGGAGAAGGCTGGGGCATAAAGAGCTAGGAGGAAGGGGACACTTTTCTCTTGGGGTTCCCGTCAAGTCTTGGAGACCAGGTGGACTGCTGACTTCATGCTCTCGGCTTCTCATGTAAGTGACTTCTCCCTAATGAAGTATCATATGACATTCCTTCCTGTATACCTTGTATAGCTTAATATTTCCGTGATAATAAGCTAAATATAGACTCACCACACATCATGCATGTATGTGTGCAGGTGCATATGTACACATGCGTGTAGATGACAACGGTCATCCTTGGGTGTTACTCTCCAGCCATCCACCTTGTTTTCTTGAGACAAGCTATCTCATTTTTTCTAGAGCTCTTTATTAGGTTAGGTTGGCTGGCAGTGAGCTCCAGGGCTGGTTGGTGTCTGCCTCTCTAATGCTGGTTTACAGCCTGTGCTTCCTGGCTTTGTGTGTGTTCTGGAGATCAAACTCATGGGCTTCCATGGCAGACACTTTGGCAGACACTTTAACAACCGAGCCATTGCTTCAGCTCAACATCTTTTTATTTGTTCCATTTTTGAAATGTAGTCCAGAATAGTCTCAAAACTCAGCTTCCTGAGCACTGAAATTACCTATATAGCTACTGCACCAGGCTTTTGTGTGTCTTGTTGCCATTTGCTCTAAGCTGGGAACTGCTCAGCATGAGTGGCCCCTCCTGTGAGCTGACACCAGTGTGTCTTTCAGTGACTATCCAGCCTGTTCAGCACATTTTCCCCAGTGTTCTTTGGTAGAAAAGGTGCTTGTGTAGCTTCCAGTGTTGCCATGACTGTCCTATAGTATTACTTAAGTTTCTTGTAGTTCTACGGATGGAACCAGAGGTTCACCCCCACTGGGCAAATATTCTTCCAGTTGAATCACATCCTGAGATCTTGAAGTAGTTTTTTTAAAGAAATTCTCTTTGGATAGCTAAATGAAAGGGTTCTTGTGCAAGGCTTAGTACTCACTTTCTGAAAGGGGAGACAGGAGGGAGCAGAATAAATGATGGTTACCTGTTGTTCAGAACTTAATTTAATCATTGTTTTGACTCTTCTGTATTTTATGTCTAGTAGTGCCAATATAAAAGCATTTTAACAATTTAAAAATTTTTGGCCAGGTATGGTGACGCACGCCTTTAGTCCCAGCACTTGGGAGACAGACAGAGGCAAGCAGATTTCTGTGAGTACCAGGGCAGCCTGGTCTACAGAGCGAGTTCCAGGACAACTAAGGCTACACAGAGAAACCCTGCCTTGAAAAACCACACACATACACATATACACACCCATGCACGCACACACACACACTCGTGTGTGTGATATCTGTGTGTCATTATGTATGCCTGGTGCCTGTGGAGGTCAAAAGAGGGTGTCTCGTCCTCTGGGACTTTTGTCACCGATGAGCTGCGCCATACTAGAAGCTGAACCTGGGTCCTCTGCAGTGGCAGCACGTGCTCTTATCTGCTGAGCCAGTGTAAAAGCATTTTGTTAAGCAGATGATGCTGGGTGATATGAGAAATATGAGGTACTTTTCATCTTTCAAGTTATCACTCTCTGAAATGATTGATGTGGCCTAACCAGACATGAAACACCATGCCTTCCTAGACTCTTGTTCTAGTAATTCAAGAAAATTAATTTAAAATTATTAAAAACTTTTGTTTTTCAATAAGAACCTAAAATCCAGTTCTTAGTGTTTGAAATACACTACCGTCCATGTGATAGTTACTTCCTCTTGAGGATATGTTTGCAGTGTGAGGGTAGAGGGAAGTGGAGGCCTAAAAGTAGAGGAGACAGAGGCCAGGTCAGAAGTAAAGGGGTTCCTTGAAAGGATGGGCTGTGTGTGCTTGACCAGTGTGTGTCTCCCATTTCAGGCTATGGCAAGGCCAATTTCTGTCTGTCCTCAGCTATACAGAAGGCTGTGTGCCAGGGTACCAGGGCTGCCGTGGTTCAGGCTCTGAGAACACTTTGAACACTGAGATCTTATGCTTCTAATTTTGGATTTAAGTTTCTAACTTTGGATGTTAACTTTGATGATATAAACCAGATAAACAGGGCATCACAGATATGTGTATAACAGTCGAGCTGTTACTCCCGTAAGATTTGTTCCTGTGCTCCATACTGTCTTCTGCCTGCTTACTATGTTCTTGTTGTAAATAGTGTTTGTAGTTAAGTACATCATGGGACGAAGGAGGATGCTGACTCTGTTTCCTTTCAAGAGACTGCTTCTGGTGACCCCGGTGCTGCTGGGGATGCTTAGAGATTTTGTCAGTGCAGTGACTACAGTGGAGACTTTTCAAAGGAACAAGCCTTTGCTCCCTCCCTGCAAGGTTGTGAGTGAGAACACTTGTTCTTCCTAGAGAACAAGCCATGGAGAGAATTTGCCCTACTAATGCCCAGCATTGATAAGGCCATAGAGAGAATTCATAGTCCTTCCTGTTTTACAGAGACTGCATTGGGGGCCCCCAGTGGCTGTTGGGAGGAGAGTTTGAACTCTAGTTGGACAAGTAAAACCAAAAAGGGCAGCAAGGTCTGCCAGTTCATGAAGTCTGTGCTGAGTGGTGCCTCTCTGTACATAGGTGTCCTTGTCCAAATAGGAGAGCTCTTGTGTCTCCCTGGTGAGTCCTGGTTATGAGCAAAATGAAAACAATAACACTTACTTCTGACAAATTTGGTCAGACTTCTTGAGCCCTGGGCATGCCATGACCTTTTTTTAGTCAGAGCATAGGAAGAAGTTTTACACATCATTGTCACGTGTAGTTGCTTCCTCCTCCATTCCTTGTTCTCTAGGAAGAACATGTGACCTCACTCACTACCTGCAGGGAGGGAACAAAGGCTTGTTCCTTTGAAAAGTCCCCACTGCAGCCCCTGGACTGACAAAGGCCTCTAGCTCTAAGCTCCCCAAGAACTGAGAACAGACAATACCCAGGGAACAGGAATACAAACAATAGAACTTGCCATAGAGAATAGCTTAGTCAGTAGGTGGCAATAGTGTTCCATGTTTCCACAGCTGCTAGCATTAAAACTTTTTTGTGATTAAAAAAAAGGGGGGGGGGCAATGTTTTCATTATCTCGTGTATTTGCCCCGTTGTCTGTTATATTTGAGAAAGCCATTTTCATTCTCCCTTTCTCTTTTTTAAATTCTCTTTCTCTCTCTTTTGGCTCCCTCTTTGAAAATGGGCTTGTTTTTATTTTATGTGCTTGGGTGCTTTGCCTGTTGTATATCCTGTACCACATATAGGTAGATTCCATGGAGGCCAGAAGAGAGCATCAGATCCTTTGGAACTGGAGTTACAGATAGCTCTGAGCCTACCATGTGGGGGCTGGGAACTGAGCCCAGATCCACTGGTAGAGCAACCAGTGCTCTTGACCCCTGAGCCATCTTTCCAGCCTCACACTCCTTTTTTTTTTTTTTTTTTTTTTAATCATTTCATTGATAGCCTTCTTTTAAGCACTACATTGGAACCTGGGTGCTGTTCAAAATAGTCATCTTTTAAAGAACATCTACCTGATAATCTCAGTGCGGGCAAAGAGAAGTAGCCTCAATGAGAAGGGTGAGCAGAAGACTGGAGAGGGACGAAAGCACATGGAGGCTTTTCCTTGGAATCGTGTCCCTGTGGCTTCTAAAGTCTCTTCTATCCTGTTAGAATTTCCAAATTTCCCTCCTGGCTTGCAGGTTATTGACTTATTTTACTGGCATGAAACATTTTCGTCCACTTGGAATTGGGGCCAAATAAAAAGTTTTCTTTATCAGAGATTGGTCCAGCTGCTATGCTTGTTAATTGGGTGGCTAGGTGCGGGCCGCAACCGAGAGCCTCTGTGCACCGTGCTGCTGTCCTTGCTGCAGATGTAATGCTGGGCTTCGGGGCTGTCTTCTGCTGAGATGACTATCCAGTGCCCTGTTAGACCCAAGTCTGCTTCAGGACAGGTGTCCAGAGTTTACACTCAGCAGAGGCAGCTGATCATAGCTCTGTTATCTTGCTTTCCTACTTCTCAGGATGCAGTTCATGTCTCAAGGGCATGTGGCTGCCCTGTTAGATAGCAGAGCCTTCTCATCACTCTGACCATTAGAACGGAGAGAGAGAGGATGCCTAATGTTGGAGCAGCCCTCAGGGATGGCTCTTCAGCAGGAATGGGAAAAGCAGTCTCACAACAAGGAGAGGTGTCGGCGTGATCACCTATTCACAAGCATCAGCAAGCAGAAAGGGCCTCCGCAGTAGCATTAAATCTAGGGGAAACTAGCAATGGGAGTTAACCTTTAAAAAACAATTGGTCAGTGAGCACAATAGCAATTGCTGTCTTTGCACGGCTTCCAAAATTAGACTCCTGGTCCTGAGCCTTTTTTGAGCAAAGGAAGCAGAGGTGAGTAGGCTTTTCTTCACGTTGATGTACGCCTACATGCCTGAAGGAAGCACAGCAGTATTTCGCCACGGGGCCGTGGACTCACACAGGCCTGCTTGAGTCCTGAGCTTACCTCATTTCACTCTGTAGAAACTGCAGTATGCAGTGACCAGCACTGCTGCTGATCTCCTTGCTTATATTTTGTTTGCTGGCTATAAGAGTCTTGATAGGACCCTGAAAGGGATCTCAAGGGGGCTGGTACCCCCCTCAAAGGATCCCGAATTCCGCTTCCTACAGTGTAAAAAGTACTATGCCTCTTCCCTCTCCCATTAGAAGACATGTAAAAATATCCCTGCAGCTTCTGTGATCTTTTCTGGAAGAAAGGAAAACTAGAGGTTGAGCTGTTCTGGGATGGTCTTTGGTCTGCTTGTGGTCCTCTGCAAATGTAGGCTTTCTCTAATAGAGAGCTGATGGCTCTCGAGCCATTTCTGAAGTGCTCAGCGTGCCATTTGTTGTGTTCTAGGCATTTGAGCTGGCAACAGGAGACTATTTGTTCGAACCACATTCTGGGGAAGACTATTCCAGAGATGAAGGTGAGTGTTGTTGCCACTGAGTACTTTGATGTGGCTCTGCTCCTCCTCAGCTTTTAGAGAGTTTTGTGTTGTTTTACTGAAATAAACCCGTGTTTTGGTTTTCAAACACCAAATTCAGATGCTTTTCCTTTGAGTTTGAAGCCCCCTCAGTGCCAGTGAATGGGCAGCACCCAGCTGACAGAGCTTTCCCGGTCCCCTGGGAGAAGGAACCCACTGGTGGGTGAGGACCAATTCCTGACCCTAAGGGCCACCCTGTGGCTCCCTTGTCCACAGTGCTGCTGCCTATTTTTTGTCCTGTTTGGGAGCTCAGTTGAAAACCAGGGAATTCAGACTTTCGAGTTCCTTCTGTAAACCTGGGGCAGCCTGCAGGGAGCTGGCATCAGTCACCGGTGGTGCTGCAGTTGGTGTCTGAGGCCTGCCAGTCTCACGCACCTCAGCATGGGTGTGCTGCAATTGTTGTTGGTTTGAATCTATTTCTGATTTCTTACTAATTTCACTTTCCCCTCTTCTTTTGTCCCATCCTTCCCTTTGCCCTCCCCATCCCTATGTCCTTTTTTCTCTCCTCATAGACCACATAGCCCACATCATAGAGCTGCTAGGCAGTATCCCAAGGCACTTTGCCCTGTCTGGAAAATACTCCCGGGAATTCTTCAATCGCAGAGGTAGTACCTCTTCTCTTTGAAAAGCGCCATGATGCAGACAGAAATGGAACAGCTGCAGGAGCAGCAGCCATGGCGACCAAAGCATGTCTTCTAAATTCCAAAAGCAGCTGAGCGGAGTGCCGGTGCTGGTGCACACACTAAAAGAAGACTGAGTCTGCCTGTGCTGCTCGCCCTGTACACTGGCCCCTTCTTGGTGCTTAGGACAGCTGGGTGCCTTCTAGCTTTGAGTTCTGAATCAGCTGGACAAAGGCTGTCTTTGGTCATTCAGGTCGCGCTCCGTTTCTGTCTGCGCGGGCAGTGATAGTGTCTGCATGCAGTGTACTGATTAAACTGTCATGTGTTTCTGTTTTGCTGGCAATGTTTCCCAATGCAGATCACATAGCATTGATCATTGAACTGCTGGGGAAAGTCCCTCGAAAATACGCTATGTTGGGGAAATATTCCAAGGAGTTTTTCACCAGAAAAGGTAACGGTATTTATGCAACACTAATTTTCAGCATAATCCTCTCCCAAAAGGAGAAATTGTGCATTCATGTTTGAGCAGTGGAAAAGATCAAGACTTTGCAACTGGGGAATTCTGCTGAAGAAGGTACTCATAAAATATTCTGGAACCATCTGGTATCTATGGAGAGTTAGACTTTTGTGAGAAAACAGGGTCCCAACAATCCTTCCTCAAACCTCTACCTTTTGACTCCATTCTACATACTATGTATTTAAATATTTGTAGAAGGGACTTCCAGTGAGTTTTGGGAAAGATTTAGATTTAGCTGGGTGTAAAGCTCATATCTCTAATCCCAGCACTCAGGAGGCTGAAGTTGGAGAATCAAGAATTCAAGGCCAGCAACCCGACTTTGTGGGGCTTCAGCCGACTTGCCCAGTTTGTACCCAAGAGAGGGAGTGTGGCTTGAGAAAGGGCAGGTAAAGATGCTAAGGAAAAGACAGACACGGAGCAGAGTCAGGAAGGAGGGCCACCCAGTGACAGTGACTGCCCCAAGTTTACTCTTCAACATCGTATACCCCAGCCAAAAAGGGGACATGGCAAAAGACTTCCTTATCATGTACAAGGAACAGCCTTTCTTCCCTAAGTCTTCAAACATTTAGTAACCACAAACATATAGTAACCACTCATTAGACTAAATCTCTCATTATCTGGCCTTAAGGGTTGAGTAACCACCTTAAGACGAAGTCCCTTGTTATTTAGATAAGACATTCACAACCAAGACCAAACATGCTACAATAGGCCATAGGTCTTATGACTGTAACCTTGGAAGAGTAAGGACAGTTAAGCCGAGAAGCAGCGAAACCATGTTTACGGCCCCCGACACGTGGGTACTGAGAACTGAACTTTGGAAGAGCAGCCAGTGTTCTTTAAGTACTGAGTCATCTGTAGCTACCCGCCTCCCACCCCCCACACACCTTTTTTATTTTTGACAGAGTCTTGATCTCCTGATCCGTTAGCCTCAGCCTTCCCTGTAGGCAGAGTTTTCCTGTCCTGGGAACCGCTTCCAAATTACCACCCAGTGGCTTATATTAATTGTAAATCCTTGGACAATAGCTCAGGCTTATTACTGCCTCCCTCTTTTTTAGTTAATCCATATTCCTTATTTATACTCTGCCACATGTCATTGCCTTTATTGACATGGAGTGTTCATCTCCTGTTCCCGCTGCTTCTGACTGGCAACCCCTTCCCATCCAGCTAGCTACTGGCCAGTCAGCTTGTGCATTAAACCAATCACTGTGACATATAGTCACACAGTGTAAAGGAGTTTTCCACAATACTTCCCAGGGATGGAGCCATAGGCATGTGCCCCCATGCCCAGCTGTGCTCTTAGGCTCCTTGGGTTTTGCAGCTGGTCTGGAGCTGTAAGCCATTCATTCCTTCCATACCTACTGAATGCATTCTAGAGCTGACAGCAGCAATGGCACATCTTCTGACTCATTCGGAAGAGTTCACCTCAAATGACAGTTGGTAAATGGTGCCTTCTGGGATGAGGTGCTCAGATTCCTGGTTCCTGGGAAATGCACTTATCTGTGGCTTTGCTGACTGTGGGCACATGTGTGGGTGTGGTGTGTCTACAACCATCTTGAGCACTTGTGCATTAGGACTTAAGTGCCTGGGTTCTTTTGAGCCACTTGTGTGAAAGTGATCTGCAGAGAGAAAGCTGGTGTACATTCTTCTATGTTCCCACCCTCATCGTCTGTCTCAGATTTTAAAAACAAAGTTTCACTGGTCTCCTCTTTAAGGTCTATTTCTTTTGTACATATTTTATGGAGTGTTTTGCCTGCCTGTATATGTATACACTACATGTGTGCCTGGTGTACAGAGAACTCAGAAGAGAGCATCAGAGCCCTGAGATTGGAGTTATGGATGGTTATAAGTTTCCATGTGAATACTGGAAATCAAACCTGGGTCCTCTGAAACCTATCTGTAGTTCCTGGCTTTTAACTCTTGATCCTTCAGACTAGGATTACAGGCTTGTACCACCATGCTGTGTCCTTAACATTCTTTTTAATGGGAGACCAAAACCATTGTGATTTGGTATTACTGTGATAACTAGAATGCTTTTTCCCTTCTTTTGGACATGAGAGACTTTGTAATGATGACCAGGAGTTTGGGTTTACAGCCTCCTTTCTGGTGTTTGGTTGTTTGGTTGGTGGTAATTAGAAGAGATTTGGACAGATGTACAGTAATAGTAGGAGGAGTGAAGACTTGTCATGAACGTATGTCTGTGAGAATGATGAAATTGTTTTGTTTGGTTTTAAATAATAGACTTTGTAGACCCAGCTAGCCTCAAACTCATGAAGTTCCACCTCCCTCTGCCTCCCAAGGGTTGGGATTAAAGGCATATATCACTATCCCAAGTACAATTTCTTTTTTTTAAAGATTTATTTATTTATTACATATACAGTTTGTCTACATGCCAGAAGAGGGCATGCTCCAGATTGAATTGTAGATGGTTGTGAGCAACCATGTAGTTGCTGAGAATTGAACTCAGGACCTCTGGAAGAGCAGTCAGTGCTCTTAACCTCTGAGCCATCTCTCCAGCCCCCCTAAGTACAATTTCTATCCATTCCATTTTTGTAACATTGCACGATTGATAAAGACAAAAACATATAAAACTGTTGTCATTCTGCTTTGAGCCATGTTTGCAGCAGCTAGTCATGAATAGTTTGTTAGGAATCCTTTTCTGTTCTTTGTTCTGAAGAAGCAGGATTCCACCCCTACCCCTGGTCTGAGGAGGAGAGTGGGTTTATGTGTTAAAATGAAGCATCAGATGTAGCTGCCCAGTGTCTTTCTTGTTTTGACTGTAGAAGTTACAACCAGTACTAGTTTGAATTACTCCTTGGCCAGAGGTTAAAAACTGAGCTGGATTTTGGGACAAGCAATGTGGTTATTGCATATAACGTTAATTTACTGATTGTTTTCTTGGGTGTGAACATGACCCATTGATACCATTAAGAACCAGAATGTGCTCAGTGTGGCATACAGGAATGAGATTGGAAATTCACTTCAAATTGAAGGTCAACTTGGGCTATAGTGAGATCCTTTCTCAAAATGAAGAAGGAGGAGAGCACTTTTTTGTTTTTTTGTTTGTTTTGGGAATGGTTTCGAGACAGGGTTTCTCTGTGGCTTTGGAGGCTGTCCTGGAACTAGCTCTTGTATACCAGGCTGGTCTTAGAACTCACAGAGATCTGCCTGCCTCTGCCTCCCAAGTTCTGGGATTAAAGGCATGTGACACAACTGCCCAGTGAGGAGAGCACTTAAGATGTGTCCCAGTAGTAATCAACACAACTGTGGATTTGTTCCTTGTGTGTTCCCCAAGAAGTGAGTGTCAAGGTCCTGAGGGTTGGTGAGTACATCAGTGGCCCTCGCTTACTAGGCTGTGTTCTCTTAACCATCTATAGCCAATCTTTCAGTGAATTTATTGTGTCAAAAATAGATTCATCAAAGGGGATAGGTTACCTAAACTCACATGGGTCATCAAGTACATTGGGATACATCTGACTATGTTGTGCACAGATGTATATCCAACTTTGCTCTTAAGACTTCATTAAATTCAGGGCCTACCAAATTTCTCAGCAGGTAAAACCTGTCTGTCTACCCCATCCCCAAGCCAGATGGCCTGAGATTGACCTCAGGACTCAGGTAAAGAAAAATACCTACTGCTGTACCTATCCTACATGGTGCATGTGTTCCCATGCACATAACAAAACCGATACTTAGAAATGATGCAGATGTAATAAAGGGGCTAGAAAGATGACTCAGCAGTTAAGAGTGCTGGGTGCTCTTGCAGAGGACCTGGGTTTAATTCCCAACACGCACATGGTGGCTCGCAACTGACTGTAATTCAAATTCCAGAGAATTCAATACCCTCTTTCAGCCTCCATGAGCTCCAGGCCACAAGTGATGCACAGATAAACATTCGAGCAAAACACTCACACACAGAAGAAAAAAATGTTTTTTTGTTTTTTGTTTTTTGTTTTTTGTTTTTTTGTTTTTTTTTTTGGTTTTACGAGACAGGGTTTCTCTGTTTTTGGAGGCTGTCGGCCCAGCCTGGCCTCGAACTCACAGAGATCCGCCTGCCTCTGCCTCCCGAGTGCTGGGATTAAAGGCGTGCGCCACCAACGCCCGGCTAGAAGAAAAAAATGTTAAAAAAAATTTTTAAGTCTTAATGAAATTCAACTGAATGGGTCAGAAGTGCGGTAAAGAAGTTTCCATGCAACAATACACATCTTGATGTGGGGGTTACTATCCTGTCACTCTGATAATGAGGGAGGTGAATTTTAAAAGAGAGAAACCACCACAAGGATTTCCTGTACACATCTGGCCTCACACTCTAGTAAGGGTGGTATTACTCATTGTCCGTGTCTTGAGCTGAAACTTGAAGATGTTTTTAGCGTGGCCCCAGGGATACCTGAGAAGTAGGCTGACCTGTGAGGGCTGTGAGGAGCACAGGCTGTGAGCACTGGAGCTCACAAGCTTCATGCTGGCACTATTCTGCTTAGCTTTCTGGGATTCAGGGTTGGAAAGACTCAAAAGATTTTCCTGTCATTCCTGCTTTATATTTGCACAGAGTGTGGGTTTCACAATGCTTTAGAACCTAAGGAGTGATTCTGGGAGGATGGACATAGTCTTCCCTTGAAGCTTTCTGTGTGAGGTTGACTCAGAAACAACTAAGAGCAGAAAGAAAACAAATAGACACAAAAGCCTAGAGAAGTTCCAGTGGGATCACTCTAGCACCCTCCCCTTGCTCACACAGTCTTGCCTGGCAAAAGAAGGGCAAAGACCACTAAGGCAGTAGAAGATGGGCATGCAGGTGGACGGTGCCGTTCCATGGTAGCAGAGCGTCGCAACAGAAAACTGCATTCCCCATAGGCTGCCCAGATGATTGGGGTGGTTTTATTTGTTGTTGTTGTTAAGACTTGTTTTCTTGCATGTGTTTATGTGCACCGTACATGTGCCTGGTGCCTGCAGAGATCAGAAGGCTTCAGGTCCCCTGGATTGGAGTTAAGATAGTGTGAGCCACTGAGTGGATACTCAGAACTGAACCTGGATCCTCTGCAAGAGCAATGAGTGCTCTTACCTGCTGAGTTTCTCTAGCTCTGGTTGTAGGTTTTAAGGAGTGTTTCAAAGTTGTATGACCAAAGCAGTGAGATTACTGTTAATTCGAAGTAATTTCTATCATACAAGGAATGTCCCTTGTCCTGATTTCCTCATATTTTGGCATACTTACATAGATAAGATAATCTTGATGATGGGACACAGGTAAACATGAAACTCACTTCTATTTCATTAACAGCTAAATGTTCATATGAATGTCACTCGTTACATGAGATCCAGTGTGTAATTTTCTTTCTTTATCATGATGGTCCTCAGAGTTTGGATAGGAATGTATAACTTACAGATAGATGCTCCTGTCCCTACTGTGTGCTTTTCTTGGTGACACAGTGAAACTTCTAGTTTCTCTTGTTCCATATCCAACAACAGAGCAGAACTGCATTTATAAAGAAAAATGTATGTACTGTTTTCTTTGTCCTTATCCCCAATGAGTAGAATCTAACTATTTGTGTAGCTCTTGTATTGTATTCAGAGTTAGAGTGTAGAGTGAGTGTTGTGTGTAGTAATGCAGATCTGTAACCCTTCATTGAGGACACGGAAACCAGATCATTGCCAACTCAAGCCAGTCTTGGCTATGTAGTGAGAACCGTGTCTCAAAAAAAAGAAAAGAAAAATATATGACAATGGAGTGTGTGTGACTTTGTGGTGTGTGTGACTTTGTGGTATGTACGATGTGTGTAGGTTATGTGCAAATGCTGTGCTACTGTATTTAGGAGATTTGAATACTATTGGATTGTTGGTGAGGGTGCAGTCCTGGAACCAGTTTCTGTGTATAGAGATGAATATAGTAAGTTTGGTTTCCCTTGAAGGACCTTAGCTTAAAAAGCTGGTAGGTACCCTCAGTAAGTTCCTCTGTTCTGGCAGGCAGTGCTTGCCAGCATTTGCATTCACCTGCAAACTTATGACAAAACAGATTAATTAAATGTCAAGAAAGTTTCTTCTTTTATCAGAGAACGTGCCTCCATGTTATGTCTTCACTGTTGGGGAGGGAAAGCTATCCTCATTCTAACTGTGGTTAAGCCACTGAAAATGTACCTGGGAGGTGGCTGCTGCCTACCTGGATAGATGGGTTCTAATGCACCTGCTTTCCGTGTTCATCAGTGGTTTTGTTGTTGTTGTTTGGTGTGGTTGTTTTGTTTTGTTTTCCGAGACAGGGTTTCTCTGTGTAGCTTTGAAGCCTGTTCTGGCACTTGCTCTGTAGACCGGGCTGGCCTGGAACTCACATAGATCCTCCTTCTTTTGTTCATTGGTATTTTAAAGTCAATCCTGTGACTATCTATAAGAACATAGCTTTGAGACTTTTATTACATAGCATCACTCCATATGGTTCTTGTAAATCCAATTAACATCATGGAGTGTATATATTTTAGTTATTTGGCCTTTAGCCACCGTCGTAACCCTGATCTTGATTACATCCCTGGAGCTAGACTTTTGGGAGTTTGAGGAATATATTTTTAATGATTGTTCAGATTTGTTTCTAAATTTTCATTATTTTATGTATGGTATGTGTGGGTGTCATGTGTGGAAGTCAGAATAACTCTGAAGTCATTTCTGTCCTTCCTTTGCATAGTTCCAGTGATCAAACTCAGATCATTGGGCTTTTGTTGTTCAGTAGCAAGCCCTTACCCATTGAGCCATCTAACCAGCCTATGGACCTGATTTTTACAAACTGTCTTTATTTGAAGCCCTTTCTTTTCCATTACGAAAATTACAGGTCTATTTCCTTACTAAATTTAGAGATTTGATCTCCAGTATTGAAGCAGGACTTACTTTTGTTCCTTGAGGTCAGCAGCTTGTTACCTCACTTTTAATTAGGAGCCATCCTAGAAGTTTCTTTCTGGAACCCGGTGTACAGCATGGTGATAACCAGGAGTGACCACTGAAGCGAATATAGAAAGGGAAGGATCATGGGTGGGTGGGATTGCTGTGGTTCTTGATATTTTTTTTCATTTATAAGGAATACTATCTTTTTTTTGTCAGGGTTTCAAAGTGGATGGCCAGGGTGGGTGAAATAGTTCAGGTTCTACTACATCAGCGGTCTTAACCTTGGGGGTGCATGTTGGATATGCTGCATATTAGATATTTACATTATGGTTTATAACAGAAGTAACAATATGGTTAGGAAGCCGGGCGGTGGTGGCGCATACCTTTAATCCCAGCACTCTGGAGACAGAGGTAGGCAGATCTCTGTGAGTTTGAGGCCTGGCTGGTCCAACAGCCTCCAAAACAATACAGAGAAATCCTGTCTCGTAAAACCTGTGTGTGTGTGTGTGTGTGTGTGTGTGTGTGTGTGTGTGTGTGTGTGTTAGGAAGTAGCAATGAGATAGTTTTATGGTACATGATTACAACCTGAGAAACTGTATTAAAGGATCACAACATCAGAGAGGTTGAGAACCCATGTACTACAGCATGAGAGAGAATGCTGGGCTCCACTCACCTGGCAGTGTGCTGCTGTAGGCCTGGTATAGATGTGGCAGTCAGTTGGCATAGCTCCTAGAGTGTAGGAGATGCACAGGGGCCCACTCTGAGGACCGCTCAAGAAGGCCACTTTATACGCAGCACACAGAAATGGAGTTGTTCATAGTGAAAGTGACCTGGCACTTTGGACTGATTTTTTTTTTTAAAAAAAAGGTCTTAGTAAGGTAATTTTTCTGCTGTGTCAGAGCTTCCTAGCTTTGGGAGGTAGTGACACTTTTATACTATGGGTGACACATTTGAGACCTTTTAACTTCATGCTTTATAAGAAATTGTTCTTGAGGTTATATATTTTACAACAGTGTGTAGAGATGAATACCATTCATCTTGGGTCACCACTAGCTGTTTGTGGCTGTTTATTTAAATGTAGACAAATAAGAGTTATTATGTTCTTTGGTCACACTGTGTACATGTGCCTGTCAGACCATGTAGCCCAGTGGCTGCTTTAATGGACAACACAGTTCAAAAGGACATGAGCATTGTTCTAGGGACAGAATTTTTTTTCTTTTCATGGTAAAATGTAGTAGCACAAGGCCTTCAAATGATAAGTATAGGTCTTCAAATGATAAGTATAGGTCTTGCTAAGCAAGCTTCCAAATTGCAATAGCACCTAAACAGAAGTGAATGGCTCCCAGGTGATGGAGATTCTTTCTGTGTCATTCACCCTCAAGAAGCTCACAGCTGACCTGTGTAATCTAATCTGTTTACACCCACCTAGCTTGCTTGAACAAAGTCATTACTTCTTTTATGAGACTTGGTTAGGGGAGAAAGCTAGCTTCCTGTGTTTTTTCCATAGTTTTGAGAGTTAGATTGCCTGCAAAAAGCCCGTCTGGACCATTAGTTCAGGGAAGTGCAAATCTGAGTTTTGTGATTGCATTCCTCTTTCTCTGCAGGAGAACTTCGGCACATCACCAAGCTGAAGCCCTGGAGCCTCTTTGATGTACTTGTGGAAAAGTATGGCTGGCCCCCAGAAGACGCTGCACACTTTACAGATTTCCTGATCCCGATGTTAGAGATGGTTCCAGAAAAACGAGCTTCAGCTGGCGAATGCCTTCGACATCCTTGGTTGAATTCTTAGCAGATTCTACAAATATAGCATTCTGAGCTAGCAAATGTTTCCCCAGTACATTGGACCTAAACAGTGACTCTCATTCTCTAACAGGATCACAAGAGAGCTGGCTCTACCCTCAGACCTTTGTTTTGCTTTGAGGTACTGTGTGACACTTTGCTTCCTGGGCACCATGACCCTGGGGAAGGGTAGTCTCTGTCTTCAGCTAAGTAGTTTACTGGCAATTTTCTTCTGGAAACAATAACATGTCTCTAAGCATTGTTTCTTGTGTTGTGTGACATTCAAATGTCATTTTTTTGAACGAAAAATAGTTTCCCCTTTGTGTGTTGGCAGGTTTTGTAACTATTTATGAAGACATATTTTAGCTGACTATTATATAACTTACAATCTATAGAAATTATCAGTTGGAGCCAAGGAAGAGCAAGGAAATACACAATTTTTCCTTCTGGCATAGGGAAATAATCCCTGTATTATAGTGTATGTAACTGTTAATTTACATAAATAGGGGACAAGGGTTCACATCCAGAAAAGCTACCCCTCCCTCCCGAGTGCTTCTTACCATACATTGCATGTTGCAGATTTTCACTGCTTGAAGAAGTCACACAAACTTTTCATTCCATGACAGTCCAAGTGGTTCTGGACTAGGTGCCACTTTAAAGGAAGGAAAACCTGCTTTTCACTAAGAAATTGACACTATAATCTAGCAGTTCCATTTGTATTTTACATATTTTTAAAACTACTTTTAAAGAATAAGTCATTCTCCCTTAAAAATGTGATGACCCAGCACCCCCTATCAGCACTATAAGTTAAATATGTAGATTAAATTGGACAAGAGAAATATGTTCAGCGTGTGGAATGAAAAGAATATATTTTTGGAAAAGCATGATCGTGTTTGTCTAAAACACAAGATGTGGCTTACACAGTTTGCAGCACAGTGGACAGAACACTCCTCACAGCTTAAAGGTAACAAGTGATCATGTTCATTCCATAAGCAGCTTTACTTGCTACAGCAGTTTACCTGCCTTTTCATGAATGAGAAAATTTTCCCTTTGCAGGCTGCATAGTTTTAGTTTATACATTTTCTTAAAAATGATTTGTAGAATCCAGGACACAAACCGTTAGTAGGCAATACAACTTTAGAATGTAACATAGGGAGGTATATTAGCCTCTTAGAAGTCAGTGGATTGAATGTCCTTTTTAAAAACATTTTTATTCATTAAGGTGCCTCGTTTTTTCTTGACTTTGTCCATTAACTTATCCATATGCCTTTGCAATAATTAGATTGTGAAAAGCTAACAAGTGTTGTAACAATAATCCTTTGTTTGGGGTGCTTGCACTTGTCTTAAAAATTAAAGTGTTTTAGGATTTTTTTTTTTTTGCAGACATTGCCTTTGTCATTGCACTGTATTTGAAGTGACAGAATCAACATACATTTGCTGTCAGTAGTGTCACCAAAGCTAAAGGAGGTACAGATGAAGTCATAGGACATACATTAAAGCTTATTACCAGGAGATCACTTACAGTTTTAGGACAGGATGGATTTTAGGAATGAGGCTTTAGGACAGTCTACATTGTGGGTGGTCCCTTTTTTAAAATCAGTGTTCATCATAAATGCAACTAAATGCAACGGTTTTTCCCTCCTACCCATTATCTTTCACTCTGCGTGGACAAGAGTTAGCATTAATATATCACATACGGTTGTGAGGTAGAAAGTTCTACTCATTTATGAGCTATGCATGCTGAGTTTTTCTAATCAGACTGTGGGTTTCCATGGAGATCCCATGACAGATAGTGGCTATGCAGTGTTGTTGGTCATCATAGAAGCATTTGTATAAGAACCTCAAAGTATATCTGTATTCTTCCCTTTGTCTAAAAGAATTTTTACTATTTGAATGAAATTTGTCTAATGTGGTTTTAGCTCATGTTGGAAAAGCTAGAATATTAAATTTAAGGTAGTTCTCTATTAATACCCTAACTAGCTTGCATACAAGTTCTAGAAAGAATACATGTCTGTGACGGAGTACCATATCAGGTTCTTGGTAGCATGCTGATATAAAAATATAAAGGTTGGGTGTCATGGTACAGGCCTTTAATTCCAGGGAGGCAGAGAGCAGGTAGATTTCTGAGCTGGGTTTATGTAAGTTGCAGACCAGCCAAGGCTACATAGTGAGATCCTGTGTCAAAAACTTTAAGAAAGGAAAAGAATAAATACGAGCTTAAAGGTAAACCATTGGTAAATCAGAACAGTATAATCCACATAGTATTTTTAGTTCAAAGACCCTGTGAAATCTTCATGGAAAATTACAAGCAGTAGATAACAAGTGATTTTAACATATTCAGAAGTAGGTAATCTGAAAAGTGGCAGAACTCTCCTAAGAAAAAGTGGGCATTAGAGTTCCAATCAAGTGACCTTTTTAGGTGAGATCTACTTGGTGTTTTCATATTCCCTGCTTTTTGACAGGTAAGGTAATAAGTAGAGCTTTGTCACTGGAGTTAAAACACACTCAATTATTTTCTTTCTTCGTTTTTCTTTTAACCCTGGCTTGCCTTGAGTGCATAGACATCTGCCTACACAGGCATGCCTCCCTCTACTTTTAATTAAAAGTTTTGTCCATCAAAACTTGTATTTGGTTAATATCCTTCAGATAACAGAGCTTTCATTCTGAGTTACTTTCAAAGTATGTGGATTTAAAGATGCTGAATAGGGGGTAATGACGTCAAGGAGGTGAGTATTATTGGCATTTCCATACTACCTAGCTTTGGTCTGTGTCTGAAGTTGTCAGGAGGGACGATGTGAACCTCTTCATTTTTCATCCTAAGGAAAACTTTGACAAAGGTGTCAGAATTAAGCCGGGTGGCAGTGTTGGTGGTGTTGGTGGTGCATACCTTTAATCCTAGCATTCTGGAGGCAGAGGAAGGTGTATCTCTGAGTTCCAGGACAGCCAGGGCTACCCAGAGAAACCCTGTTGCAAAGTAAAGAAAGATGGCTAAATTGGCTGATGGTCTTCAAAACCTTGAAGGTGATTAGGATTAAATCCTAAAGGAGCTGTATTTTCACATACAGTCAGCAGCTCCTTTTCAAATGGAAATTAAGTGATAAAATATGATTTATGTCACTACCAGATCTCATCCAGTCACTTTAAAATTTTACTACTCTCTCCCTAAATCACAAAATTTATGGGTTATGCCCAAATTAGGGATGTTGATAAATAGGGTAATGATAAATTTCATACTTCTGAGAGGTATACAGCAAAAGCTGGAAAAAAACAAAACGAAACGAAACCACAACTGATACATTTCTTTCAGTAGTAGGATACTCATTTCATTCTATTTGGCATATTTCAGAATGCCTTTCCCCTTGGTTTTGTTTTCTACAACTTTAATATTGAAGCTAGCTATTAAACATTACATTTTCGTATCAGTTTTATTAGTAGGGCATTACAGTGAAATCCTAATAAATCTTCCTGTGTTTTAGGTAAATTACTTCTTTTCAAACTGGTAAATTGCAGTATGAAACTGCTTAGTGTGTAATGTATAAATAATTTGGATTAATTTTGTAATTCTGTATGATGTTAGATTGCTAGTGATAAGCAACGTCACACAGCTTGGCTATTTAATTTCCTGTGACTCATGCCTATCAAGGAAAGGCAAATGATAGGAAGGACTGTGGGGACCACCCAGACTCACTGCTGGTAGCCTGCATAGCAATTGAGGTAGCAGTTACGAAAGAAATAGAAGGTTCTTTCCTTACAAATTATATTTGAAAATCATTAACTTTTGTAAAATCATTAACCAGACCTCAATCTCAGAAGTTGTACAGAACAATTTAGTAAAACTGACATAATTGTGATTTATTAACATGAATTAAAATGTCCAACCAGTGCTTCAATGTGACAGCATATTTGAAATAAAAAGGAAAGGTCTGTACTTACTGTACTACTTTCACAGAGATCACACTTTTGCAAAAGACTTGTCATATGTACAATGCTATACACCAAATGAAAAGAGCTGGAAGCAATTATATATGCAAAAAAACGCAGTATTTACAGTCTGTCAGGGGTCACTAGAAATTATCTATACATTAAATTACATTTTGCTTGCAAAAAACTGATAAAACAAATAAGCCATGTCCACACCAAATTATAAAAACCTGTATTGCATTTTCAGACTTAAGATGCACCCACAGAACTGCTGACCATAAAAGAAAACCCTCCTAGTGCTACTTAATGCATATGTATAAAATGATATATAGAAAATAGCCACAAAATGAATGGAACTGCAACAATAAAACCTAAAGGTCATGTAGCATCAGATCTGTGGCCAGAAAAACAGCTGGAATGTTCACTTACAAAATAAAGATGCCTATGACTGGCTTAGAGCACACTTCTTAAGGGATTTTAAAAGCAAAAATGGGAAAAATACAATGAAAGAGCACTGGTGCCTTTGTTTTTTTTTTTTTGTTTTGTTTTGTTTTATACAAAGTTTCATGTACAAGCTTTAAAAAGTACCTTAACAGGTACATATGAAATATACAGTTTATCTTACAGAACATTTTAAAAAATGTTATGAGTCCATTTTAATGCCACCCTGAACCATGGTAATTGTTTTGAAATGTTGGTGGCACCTGTGCTCTGTGAATTGGAATCTGTCCAGGCACTGGAGATGCCTGCTGAGGTCCTTGCACCCCATGTGGCAGGGCCACAGAGCCAGGATGAGGATGAGGACAGAACCCTGAAGCAGTAGGTGTTGGAACACTGTTAGGTCCTTGGTGCGGATGATGAGGACCTGCAACTGCTAATGGACAATGTGGCCCTGTTCCAGAAGGCTGGTGTTGGGGTCCCGGTCCCAAAGTGCTATGATGTGTGGCTTGTGGGGGATACGGTGGGACTGCTGGATGAGTACTTGTAGGAAAAAGTGGAGGTCCTTGATGGGGTGGGTGGTGTAAGGCTTGACCTGATGTTGAATGATGCCCAGAAACCAGAACACTGGCTGGAGGAGGAGGTGGAGGAGGTGGGGGTGCCGAGTTCACCACATGCTGGTGTTGTGCTTGTAGACTTTGCAGTCCTGTGGAAGGATGGGGCGGTGGATGGTGATGTGGGGCAGGACCTGGAGGTGGAGGGGGGTGGTGGTAAATGGTGTCCAGTAGTTTGAGAATGAATGTGTGACCCAGGGGTGACAGCATGAACTGGCCCCACTACATGTGCTACAGAGTGCTGCTGATGAGAGTTTGGCTGTTGTATGAGGTGTGGTCCTGGAGCCGGTGGTGGCGGAGGCGGGGGCGGGACCACAGCAGCAGCAGCAGCAGCAGCAGTTTGATGGTGAGGTGGCAGAAAGTGCCCTGGAGTAACATGGTGTCCTGGAACTGATTGCTGGCTTGTGGTGCCAGGAAGTGCTTGAGTTGGCCCAGAGGTAAACACAGTCTGCTGGGAAAGACTACCTTTGAGCTGACTGTAACTCTGAAAGTTTGCAGAGGGCTGCTGGTTTTGATAGTATGATGACGGGGGCGGAGGGGGGTGGAGGGGGCGGTGCCGTGCTGTTGAGACTTTGTTGGTTAAACTGACTGTATGTTGCTGAAGATTGTCCTGAGGGTGTCTGTGTAAATAATGCTCCAGAAGCTGCCTGCTGAGTGCTGGCTTGAAGGTTCTGTGCTGCTGGATAAAAACTTCTCTGAGTCTCTCGCTGAGGAGTTCCAACTTGAGGTGACTGTGAATGGTGAGGCCTGAAGGGGGATCCTAGCTGCTGTGAAGGAGGCTTTGGTGAGAGGTAACCATGCTGCACAGTTGTGTGAGGCGTGGAGGACTTGGGAGGGTTTTCTGTGTGAGGTGATGGAGGACAGTGCAACCTTGTGGGTGCAGAAGGCAGCTTTTGTGCAAGTTGCTCATTTGCATTGCGAACATGGGCCTGAGGAGGATGGGTCTTTGAAAGTGCTGGGGTGTTACTCAACAGCTGTTTCTGCTGGAGCTCCGTCTTTAGGTGAGTGCTGTTCTCCGCTTCCAAAACATTGGCTGCTGCCTCCCATTGGGAATCTGGTTTTGTGAGTATTTTCCCATGTGACTGAGCAGGATTTATCAGCCCCGGTGAACCAGGCTATGAAGAAAAAAAAACTCACATAAATTTTTTGTTTATATAAATTTTAAAAATATGTCAGGTACTCTTACTGATACTTAACGTTATTTAATAATTTTAAAAGAGGGCAGGAAGTAGTGTGACTAAAACAAGTATAGAGACTGATGATGTTGGCAGGCACTATTCAGATACCCCACCTTTTAGCTTATAGTGGGACACACAAAGGCTCTTCACAGAGCACGGTGGAGAGCATTCCTTTTTACGTATGTCACCTGAGCTCTTGTATATGGAATGCTGACTGGCTGGTCATAAAATTGTTTCCCATGAGAGTAGGAGTAAACACTTCGGGGGGAATGTGAGCTACAGAAGGGTACTGAGAAGACTACAATGTTGAGCAGAGCTTAAGGATGAGAAAATAGGAGTACATAGAAATCACAAATACTTGATGTAACAGGAAAAACAGTGTGAATGGCCAGGCTTGAAAGTCAATGTTATTACCTTGCTTATTTTTGAGGGGCTCTGAGAAATGTCAGGGGATGGACATTCACTCACAATTGTGGGTTCTGGATTTTCGGGGTCAGGATCTGTAAGGCAGAAGAAACCTACAATCAGTGTAAGATTAGAAACAAGTACTGTCACACACAGACACACAGTGCCCATTGTACAGAGCTTTTTTTCTGACCATAAAGTACTTTAAAATAATAGCCATGATAGGTCATCTATTTACTGACCTGCTACAAGTTCACTCAAAGAAGGGCCTAGGCTCTTAGTGTGCACCTGGGGAATGTGATTTGAATGAGATGAAGGTGAAGACTGAACATGACTCGGTGAGCATGAGACACATGGTGATTCTCCCCCTAGAGATGAAGCAGAGCAGACCCAGAACATTAGTGCTCACAGGGAACAGGGACAAATAGCCAGCCCCACTTGGTAGAGAAGAAGCAAGGACACTCACCACTGTCTTTATCTCTCCGGTGGTCGCTGAGCAGTAATGCTCTCTGATAACTCCTTTCTCTCACTTGCTCCACTGAAGTAGAGGCAGTCCTTTAAAATAAAAATTCTCTGGTCAGAGAAGCTGCTGCCATCTACACTACACTGCCTGTCTCTTAATGAGTGAAATGGCCTTCACATGAAGGATGTTGCTATACTGGGACAATACCTTGGTATTAAACCTTTGAAAACAGCTTGTCTTGTTGCTAACTGTACTCCAAACTGAGATTTTTATTCCTGTTTACTTGAAATCAGACTAACATTTGTGTTTGACAATTTCTTCATAAAAAGGAAGGTATGTTGGAAATATTGTGTTAACATTTATAAGGTTCCTTTACCAAAGGGAACAAAAATACTCCCAACAAAATGCCAGTGTCAAACTTGTAAGTTTGAGTGGGAATTATTGTTTGTTTTAGCACTTTTTTGTTGTTTTTTTCAAGACAGGGTTTCTTTGAGTAGTCCTGGAACTTTCTTTGTAGACCAGGCTGGCCTCGAATAAGTGAGTGTGGTCTTTTTCCTGTTTGCTGAGACACATCTTAACGAGGCTGCTTCTGTCTTCAACTG